GGGAGAGATCTGACACACACACACACAACACACTACTGTCTTCATTGTCTTTCCTTCAGGCTCGACTGCAGCACCTTCTCTCTGCAGTCGAAGTCCCAGGGTGGGAGGTGGGAGTTGTGTGCTGTGTGTGTGGGGGGGGTCTAAGAATCCGTTGCCATGGCCACCCAAAACAATGAATTCTGGCCTGCTCACACCTCCCGCAGCGCCCCCTGCTCCTCTTCTCTCTCTCTCGTCTCTTTTACTTCTTCCTCATGCTTCTCAATCAGCATCTCACGTCCATCGGACCCCTGTGCGCCGCACAACACACCACACACACATACCAAGCAGGGAATTCGCTGACATGCATAAAACCCTACATAACGATAGAAATCAAATCTCGTTATTGATTGTTTTTATATCTGTAATGCTACGAATGTCAATATGTCTGCATCTATGATCTCCTCCCTTGTCTGTGTGTGTGTTGGTGTGTGTGTGTGTGTGTGCGTGTGTTGTGTGCGTGTGTGTGCATTAAAAGGAGTATCCTCTTCCTCATATACTCTCGTCCTGTATACCGTAGGGGTTAATCCATCCATCCATCCAGCAGGGGGGGGGATCTCTTGATGGAATGCCGAAATGCAGCAGAGCTTACCCTCATACTTTGACTGACTGCATCATCCTCGTCCTCTGATGAACACACACACAACACCACACACACACACTCACAACGATGTACCACTCTCATCACCCTTTTTCCAGCGCCCTCTGGATCACCGGATGGAGGGAGGCAACAGGGTGAATAAAGGGGAGTGGAGGGAAGAGGGAATGATGGGAAGAGAGGGGGATGGAGTGTGCGATGGGAAGGAGGGAGGGAGGATGGACGAGCATCACAAGCCGATCCCGTCAGATGGGCTGGAAGCCTCTTCTTGGAGCATACAGATAGCAGAGCGGCAGGACAAGAACAAGAGGAGAGGAGAGAAAAAGATGGAGGAAATTGGGCTCTCTCCATCCTTCATCTCACAACGTACGACTCTCCATCTCTCTTCCTCCCCCTGACACGGGGATCCCCCAAATTGAGCTTTTCTTTTTCTCCTCCTCCTCCTCCTCCCTCCCCGCCTCCTCCTCCTCTATCTTGCGCACGCTGCGTTTGCTTTGCTCTGGAGCTTGGCGCACGGCTGCACGACAGTAAACCGCGGCACACGGAGACTGAGCGGCACCGCAGGCAGGGGGGACACCGGACGGACTGCGGAGATGCAAGGATTGCTCCCTGCGTCCTCCGCCTCCCACCACCACCAGCACCACCAGGGACACGCAGGTTTAATGGTATCTAAGTGTGTGCGCGAGTGCAGTGGCGCGCGTGCGTGTGTCCGTGCGGCGCACAGATGGAGCTGTGCGCTCCGAGTGTGACTGTGAGCAAACCGAGCTCCTCCCGGACACCTGCTGCTGCTGCTGCAGCGCCTCTCTGATGTGAAGATGAAGAACTCCCTGCGGAAACTCCAAACCTGCGCAAACATGTGACTTTTTTTCTTCTGCTCAGAGGAATTACAGAGGGGTCAAGCCCAAAAAGAAACCCCCCCTCCCATCCTCTCCTCCTCTTTTTCTCCTTCTTCAGAGTGACTTCAGGATGGGTCCTGTTTGGCTTGTTCTTCTGCTCCCATCCCTCCTCAGAGCGCAGGTAACTCCAGACACATCAGGAGTCACTGTGGAGGCAGACAACAGCACAGACTCTTTATCAAACAGGACAGGAAGCTCAGACATCTCCACCAGCCCCTCCACTTCCTTCAGTCCCCCAGAGCCTACAGAAGCTCCCACAGAGGAGGAAGATGACTGGTCACCAGCAGAGACCTTCCTGTACACTGGAGAAGCCTCCACTCTGGAAGTGGCCCGCTGCTCACGGGCGTACAGCACCCCGGGGCAGTCTGGATCCCTGCCCACCAGCTTTAGTGCCCCCCTCCGGCCGGCTCTGGACGCGCTGGCCAACACGGCCAACTTCCTCAACATGATCTTCCAGGCCAGTGACCTGCGGGAGAGCACCGTACAAGAGGATATGGAGTGGTACCACGCCCTGGTCCGCGCCCTCCTGGAGGCCGACGTGCTCATCCAGCGGGCCCTGCTCACCTTTGATGCCGACCCGACTGCCCAGGTGCCGCAGCTGGTTCTCCGTGCATCCCGCAACCCAGCGGCCAAAGTGCAGAACATCATCCTCCAGGACTTATCCAAGGCCTGGGAGAGCCTGCACCCGCCCGCCCCAGCCCCCGACGACAGCTGGTTCAGAAGTTTTAAATTCCCAGAGTCCCCCCAGGTGATGGCCGCCCTGTCCAAGCGGGTGCTCCTCAATGACCTCAGCACCTTGGACACGCCCAAGTGGAGGCAGGGCGACAGCTACGTGACCAATCGTAGTGGGGTGCGATGGGCCAGCGCCCCCTTCCTCGACTGTGAGGACGGTTGCTTCGTGCCCGGCTGGATGCTCACCCTGTCCACGTCCTACTACGGCCTCAAGCCTGACCTGACGCCAGAGTTCAGGTTAGGGCCAGTACCACACACACACACAGATAAAACATTACAAAAATTATGTTATTAATACAGAAAATACTGGAACACACAAACACAACCAAGTTATCTCTGCTGATGGTGTCACTGGTTTCAGACAGGTGAGTTGGTGCAGTTGGTGACCAATATCTTGTTTCTTTGGTCGTCTGTGTTGGTTTCTGATGTTACACAATCTAAATTTCCCAAAGTACCTGAAACTTTTAATGGGACTGAGGCTCCTTTAACTCAGCATGATGCTTTCAAGCTCTTGGTTGTTTCAGGGGAGGATCTGATCCAGCTCGTGGTGATGATATTATTGCAAGTAGACTGTTAAAGAAACTTCTCTTAACTTTTTTTCCTGTTTTTTACTGAAGCTTAAGTACATTTTCTTGTCTTCACTGCCAGAAAAATGTATTAAAAACCAGGATAACGTTTCAGAAATACTCGGTTGTGAGTCTAAGTATTCACCCTGAAAGTCCCTGAAAAGGGTAAAAGCTTTTGAAGCTGACAGCAGCAGTATTTGTAATTCACCTGCCTTCCTAGTTCTGTGTTGGCCCCTGTGACCTTCTCTCCAGCACCTTGGAGATGAGTTTGATAAGAATTTGGAATAAAAAAACATGTTTGAATCGACAGAGTTGGATAAAATCTAAAATATTTGAAAAGGGAAACCCACTTAAAGGGCTTTTTGTAATAAGTTTGATTATTTGATTATCCTCTGTGTGTGTGTTTGTGTGTCAGAGGTGTGATCCGTGTGGATGTCAACATTCAAGACATCGACTTGGACCAGTGTGCAACAGGAGACGGGTGGTTTGCTGATAGTCACGAGTGCAACCGCACCAGCATGGAGGTAAACATAATGATACAAGGACCGGGAGAGACTAGCTGCTGCTTGTTGTCTTTGAGCTGAACCAGAATAAAAACTCTTTTTTGTATTTAGTCTGCTTTAGTATGAAACTGCCTAATTACAGGGGAACCGATGATTGATTAACTAAAGTCACAAATAGCTGGTTTATTACTTCTGCATGCACGGCTGTGTGCTTAGTTAGAGATCCTTGTTTAGTTTGTTAGATATCTCAAAACCTTTCAACAGATTTAAATGAAATTTGATGGAAAGTTAGGCAACAGGAAGAAAGAGTGGTTGTTCTGGTGCACATATACTGTAGAGCCAACATCACCACCACACAGACATATTCACAGTTTTAGCCTAACAACGCAGCTTTATGATGGCATTGTCCGTCCATTCACCACTGTGGTCCACACTGAAATACCTCAACAACTACTGGGTAGACTGGTATGAAATTTGGTAAATATGTTCAAGGTACCCAGATGATGAATCCTAGTGATCTTGACGTTGACTTTTCATCTAGTGCCACAAGCAGGTAAATGTATTCACTTATCCAGTGAAATATCTCAACATCTACTGGATACATTGGCACATCATTCGTTACAGACATTCATGGTTCCCAGATGATGAATCCCAGTGATGTTGGTGATCCTCTGACTTTTTATATAGCGCCACCAGCAGGTTGGTTTGGGGGCATGAGTAAAATGTCTCTACAAATATTGAATGGTTTGTCATCAGATGTGGTTGATTTATGTTCCCCAGAGGTTGAACTGTAATACGTTATGGTGACAAACTCACTGCGATACCTGCAAAACTACTTTGTTTTTAGGGATAATTAGCGACTGCTAGCATGTTAACACGTTGAACTAAGATGGTGACTATGGTAAACATTCATCGAGTCACTTTGCAATACTTTTTTTCTACAAATTTCATTAAATACATGTGAAACCTGGTACTTAAATTACTTAAATTACTTATGATTAAGTCAGAGAAATAGTTATTCAAATAGTTGCCAAATGGTTGTTGGGTGCCATGACTCTTGAATGCACTATGCAGTTGCAACCACATTTAGCATTTAACCTTAGATATACCAACTCCAAACAATCCTTCAAAATCTGATGGCATTTCATCAACAGGTTGGTTTGAGAATTCATCCTCCTCCAGTGTGAAGCCCCC